GTGTTATGAATAATTATGAACCATTATACATGAAAGGTAGCTGCGTTGTAAACCTGTTTATTTATCTTTTGTTCTGCTAAATTTTCCATGAATTTTAGTCGCTGCATAGGAAGTCGCACAGTAAAGGAAAAAAAAATCAAAACCTAGTTTTAGCACGAACCCTTTACCCGGAGCCTCCATCTTCCATACTGACCCTTTGAGCCAACCTTGTCCCGTATCTTTCTGTTTTTAGAAGCACCTCCCGCGGCGGTTTTTATAATAAAGGCTAAAAGTTTCTAAAGAGACTGTGGTGCTGCGTCGGTGGGGGTAACAATGTAATTTGGTAATATCAACTCAGTTGAAACATGTAAATTGGCCACCGTAACGAGTAAAAGCTGACGTTTGGACCGTTAGCGCTTTGTCAGAGTGAATGGAGGAATTGAGGGTTGTATGTGGGTATATATGTAGAAGGGGAGGTACGCCATTGGTAGGAGCATGGCAACGGGAAAAACACGAATAATTTTGTGGAATGAAAAGCGTTCGTTGATACCCGTGGGAGTAAGAGTGCCGATTTGAAAGATCAACTTTTGTTCAAGAGTTTTGCGGCTTTCCGTGTTGCCTAAATGTAAGGAAAGACCGCAGATTACCATATGTTGTTGGGAATAATTAGGTAAATTAAAGTGTTTGGCGACTGTTTTCATGCGACCTTGTCATTCCTTTTTATGTCGCGAAGGTGCTCTCGGAATCGGTCACCTAGTCGTCTTCCTGTTTCGCTGATGTATAATTTTTTGCAATAAGTTTAAGTTATGCAACAGATTACGTTGTGGCAGGTACACGCGAAGTGTTCGGTGATCTTAATGGATCGCTTGGGTCCCGATATTTTCTCAGCGTTATGAACGAAGGGACAAGTTTTGCATTGTGCGCGAGCGCATTTAAAAGTGCCGAGTTGGTCATTAGTATAGTAGCCAATCATAAGAGAGCTGTCGTCTCTCTTGTGTTACATCTCTATTGTGTCACTTGCAGGCTTCCCGAAATTATCTCAATAATGGCGGAAAGGGCGGAAATATTAAAGAAGCCCCGCAGATATCTCAGTTCTAAAAATAAAAAGATAGGGGACAGGGTTGACTCATGGGTACAACTGAGATGGAGGCTCCGGGTAATGGGCTCCTGGTTTTAGTCACGTGCGTTATGGTCTTTGTCAACATGTCCCAACATCCGTTGCGGATTTTAGGACTTGGGGTCATATTCCATCGTTCCATCATTCCGTCATTCTGGCATTCTAGCACTCCGTCGTTCCGGCTCTTAGGGTCACCCGGCTGATTTTTGAAGAATGGAAAACCGCTATGGATACGAAGACCAAAGATGGCGACGAGAATGCAACTCCTCTCATAATTGCATCTCGAAATGGAAACCTGGACTGTGTAAAGATTCTTTTAAGTTTCGAAGCGGACATCGAAGCTCGAGGTACTGTGAAAGCCAACACCGACGAAGCCGTCGAAGATTGCTCTCCTTCGTGGGTCGCTGCTGCTACCGGTCATGTTGTGAAACTGTTAATCGATCACAAAGAGGAGGTCAACGGCAGAAATGCAACAAATTCGACTCCTTTGAGAGTTGCTGCGTACGATGGACGTCTTGATATTGTGAGTTATGTAGTTGAGAACGGAGCTGATGTAAATAGCAGAGATGAATTTGAGAGTACTCCTTTAATGATAACATGTTACAAAGGTCACATGGATGTTGCTTCCTATCTTATCTTACATGGCGCAAATCACCATTTGAAAGACAACAATGGGGACACATGTCTTCACTATGCTGAAGAAAAGGGTCACATTGAAGTTGTTGGCAGGCTTCTCTCCCTTGGAGTAAAAGAGGAACAAAATCATAAATGTTTGACCCCGCTCCTAGTAGCCAGCAGTAAATGAAGACATGAAGTGGTCGAGTGTTTCATCAACCGACCCGAATGTACAAAGGAACAAAGAATTGACGCTCTTGAACTTCTCGGTGCTTCTATTGGTAACGATCCTAATTCCTTTGACACTGAAAACGCATTTAGTTTCATGAAAAGTGGGATGGAGGAGAGGCACAAAGACCTGTCACGTCCACCGCTTAAAGAGAGAATGGAGCTTATGGAAGTTTATGAAAATAGAAGAGAGAGTCAAACTCTAGAGGAATTTTCTCTCATAAAAGGTGATGGTCATGCTATTCA